AGGGAGCCACTGGAATTTTTTGCAACAGGAGAGTGATGCACAAGTGAGTTGCAGTTGCCACATTTTATGATGGATGTCAACAAATTGAAATACATCCAGAGGAGGGAGATCAAGATGGTAAGAGAACAGAGAAACATGTCATATGAAAATGATTAGAAGAAAGTAGGGCTATTTGGCTTGGAAAAGAGGAGACTGAGGGGAGACACGATATAGCTGTTTCAAATATTCAGAAGGTGCCATGTGAAAAGAGACCAACAGGTAGAAGTTGTAGGGAGGCAGATTTTGGCTCAATGTAAGAATGACTTTTCTAACAATTAGCATGGTCTAAAAGTGGCTTAACAACTGCACAGTCACTTATTGGAGATGATGTAGAAAGGACTCATACATCAGAGAGTGGTTAGATAGATCAGGGGTTCTTAACCTGGGATAGACTTCTGGGGATCTGTGAACTGTCTGGGAATACACACACACACACATTTACTTTCCTTTGTAATCTTAACTATATTTTGTGTATTTGAAGACATTAGCTAGGTGGCACAGTAGATAGAGTGCTGGACCTGGAGTCAGGAAGACCTGGAGTCAGGAAGACCTGAATTCAAATGTGGCCTTAGGCAAACTTAGGCAAGTCACTTCACCCTGTTTGCCTCAGTTTCCTCATCTGTAAAATGAGCTGGAGAAGAAAGACAAACCACTCCAGTATCTTTGCCAAGAAAATTCCAAATGGGATCATGAAGAATCGGCCACAACTGAAATGACTGAATGACAAAACAAGAAGACATTCTGAGAGGGGATTTGTAGGCTTCATCAGACTGCCAAAAGGGACAGACATACCAAAAAATTTAAGAACCCCTGGACTAGATGATATTTCAAGTCTGTTCCAACTCTGAGATTCTATGGTCTATCATTTTATCATTTTGAATTCCTCCGCCTGCCTGCTTCCCCAAAGGCTCTTGACAGTTGTACACAACAGATTAGCAGCAAAACACAGGAGTCTAAGTATATGACTACCACACAAAGAAGGTATAAGATTTGTAATAAAATCTAAGGGGTTACTTCTATCGTAGGTTATATGGCAACCTATACAGATGGGCCAGGAAAGAAGAGTATCACTTCATTCCATAAAAACTTGGGAAGATTGAGGATAACCAACCCAGATGAAAAAGTCTACCAATAAATCAAGATCAAATTTAAATCAAGAAACTGAGTCGCCTAACATTTGACCAAAATAACTTAACCAAGATTAATTACATAAAAACTAGGGTAAAGTTTTCTCTGTCTCCTTCCCCATATACTCCAACCACCAATCACATGGAGTAAAATGATGCTTCAGCAACTAGGAGGCTATATACTCAATTTTAGTCACAGGATAGATGTGTAGCAGAAGCAACATTTTGAAGGTACCAACTGCATGTATATGTTAAGGAAGGGAAAGGGGGAATTAGTTGTATAGGGTGGAGATACGCTATGGAGAAAGTGTTTTTGTGAAGGTACATCCATGATTTTGCCATTGACGGGGAAGGGGAAGAGAAAGGGAAAAGTGAATAATGGAATGTGTTTGAGTATATATATAAAACAAAGACTATATAAAACTATGTTTGATTCATAATGGAAATGAAGTTGGAGGATTTTTTTTTTTTGAGATCATCAAGACAGGATGCGTGCCACTGATAACTGCTAAAAGCATATAAAGATGGAAAATTCAGTTAGCAAGAACATATAACAAGACAACTAGCAAATCAACAGTGTGTTGGCTAATGCAATTAATCAGTAACCATTTATTAAATGCCTACTATGCCACAGGGACAGTCCTATATAATGGGGATAAAAATACAAAAAAAAATGAAATAGTCCCATCTCTTGAGGAGCTTACATTCTATCAGAGGAATATCTGTCTGTCTGTCTATCTATCTATCTACCTTTCTATCTATATCTCAGTATATACAGAATAAATGCAAGAAGAGTTAAAGACAGGGCAGTTTGGGAGAGAATGGACTAGCTGCTGGGGGAAAGGGGAATCAAGAAAGGCTTCCCATATAAAGCAGTGCTTGAGCAGCCTCCTGAAGGACATGAGGGATTCTATGAAGTAGAAATAAGGAGGAAGTACATTCCAGGCATGAGGGATGGCTGGCACAAAGGCAGAGGAATAAGAGTTGAAATGTGAGGTGTGAGAAACAGAGAGAAGGCCAGGTCAGCAAGATCATAAAATGCAGGAAGGAGAGTGATATATGTTGAGGCTGGAAAGATAGGTTGTGAAAGGTTTTCAAAGCCAAACAAGATTTTGTTTGATCCTGGAGTCAATAGAGAATGTGGAGAAATCTATCATCCTTTAGTATCAATTTGAATGTTTGTACTTCTAAGCATTTTAGTGGTTTCCATTTTAACAATAAATTGTAATGTTAGCCAATTAGAACATACATTCAAAATAAGTTAGGACCAGATGAATGAATGAATGAATGGATTCATTCATTCATAAATTTAACAATAATTAATTTCCTATTATGTTTATATTTCTATACTAGATACTGAGGAAGATACAAAGATAACTATGTTCTATCCCTGACTTTCAGGAAGCCACCTCAGCATAGTGTGGCATAAAAATCACTATGCCATTCATGTATTATTACTTTCTTAAAATAGCAATGTAATTTGAAGTAAGCATTATTCCCTAGCTTCCTTAGAGAATTGATTTTAAAATAAAAAATAATATGAATCTGGATAATTAAAAATCTTTGAAGGTCCTTACTCTTCAGATGAAAGTCTTAACTGTCATGAAAATGAGGCTTACTTAAAAGAAAAGTCCGTGTGACTTTACCACCATTGTCAAAGATATTTCCACCCTAACCACCTTTCTATATATCTGAGCATTGACCTAGACCAGGGGTGGGGAACCTTCAGCCTTAAGGCCACATGTGGCCTTCTAGGTCCTTGGGTGAGACCTTTTGACTGAGTACAAGTTTTACAGAACAAATCCTTTTATGAAGGGGAGTTACTCTGTGAAGTTTGGATTCAATCAAAGGGTGGCACTTGAAGACCCAGAGGGCCACGTGTAGTCTTCAGGCTGCAGGTTCCCCACCCCTGACCTAGACCATTCCATCTGCCAGTTCTGTGCTAAATTGAGTCATATTACCATAGTTCCTCCACTGATTCCAGCTTCCTTCTTTCAGAAATACTCTTTCTTTCCTTCTCCCACTTTTGGTGATGAGTGTCTGCCTGTAGTTTTCTTCCAGAATTTTACTATTCAACTGCAATGAGGGTTTCAGGGTGCTAAAATGTGAAAGCTGTGGATTTAAGTATTTCAATGCAAAGTTCCTGTTCCTGAAATTGTCCCTTGGCTCAGGTACCAGTTACGTACAGTGGTGGTGAAGGCCCACAGTACTGTGGATGGCCAAATAGAGAGACACTTTAGAAACCACTTCCTAAAGATTAGCACCATCTGAAAGGATATATTAGCATTGTCTAAAAGAAAAGAAAATAATGAAATAAGGGAAAAATGGATTTTCTTTTGGGTATGTGTGTGACAGAGCTTACAATTATTTAATACGTATCTTAGTTCAATCTAAAAGTACCAACAGATACTTTCCAAAGGAAATGGAAGCCTGAATTGTCACTTTCTATATACGACTCATCCCACATTTAAAAAACATGTAACATACCTGTAGTCTTATTTCGAAACACACATACAAAGCATGTCTGATTTTTCAAAAGTTCATTAGCAAAACCTATATAATTAAACAGCACAGTGACTCATTTTAAGAAGCCAATGTGAAATAACAACTCCTCCCAGGACTGAGAAACAGCAAAACAACTACACAAGTGCTTAAGAATCACAGGAAGTAAAGCAGATATTTACTTATTCCAGGAGAGTTTGGAAGAGTTAGTGTGTATGTTTGTATGTGTGTGTGTTGGGGAGGAGTCCTCCAGAAAGTATGCACTTGTCTCAACCCTGGCACCACAAACTTATCTCCTCCATTCCTCAAAAAGCCTTGTGAAGGAGCCGCTTCAAGGCCACAACAGTTTCCTGTTAACTTCCTGTCCCATTGTCACTCTCTGTCAAGACAGGGCAAGTCATGGGAAAGATAGATAGCCTGATAGAAAGTTCAAGAAATAATCAATGGAGTGGAACCTTCACATAAATTCTCAGAAAGTTTAGTCTCCCAAATGTGTTAAAGCAAATTTGAAATAACTTTATAAATGAAGCATTTAAGTGGGATGTTATTAGAATAGCCTATTAAGAAGTTAAGTCTAGACTGAGTCATTTTATGTGGCCTTTTAATAAAGGCAAGAGCAGCACAAGCCCTCCCTTTTCCATTACCTCAGAAGTGTCTGTTGAAATTAACGCATCCTGAAATCCCAAAAAGGTTCCTTCTGCATAGAATAGAGTCAAGCTGGAAGAATACTATATTTTACCAGAAAAGAGATCAGGTTGCTAAAAGTGTTTTTTCTCTTGCGGTCCAAGTCATCCAATGGATGGGCATCTTCCCTCCTCCCAAATTCCTAAGTAATTCCCAGTGATCACCTCTCTCCAGAAACCCACCAGTTCTGAGAGCTTTCGCTTTCTTGTCCTGTGGGGTACGTATTATCAGGGAGAAAGAGCAGTATGGGGGGGGGGGGGAAACTAACCGAGAACTGAAATCGCTGCCCTTTTCGCTCTGTCTTCTCAGGCGCCGCTCCAAGTTGGGTGCAGTGGGCGAGAGGGAAACCTGTTGCCTAGAAAGTGCTCCTCCGGCTGCGCTCTTGGGACCTTGGCACTTCTGGGCTCGTCAGGCCCCCTGCCGGACCAGTGACTGGCTCCACGCGAGGTGCCACAGCTTCCCGCGCTACACTGTCCTGAGGGTCACTGGAGAGGACTAGGTGGAGCGCGCTTGCTAGAATGGGAAGGAAGGTGGCGTCTCTACAGCCCCACTAATGACAAGAAGCCGATCCCGGGCTAGTTTCTCCTCCACTTCCTTCCTATCTTTTTTCTTTCTTTCTTTTTTTTGGCGGGGGGCTTCCCACTCACCCCCCAGATCAGCAACTTAGCCTCCAGTTGAAGAGGAGGAAAAGAGAAGGACCCCACAATGATCCTATTCCCACTGAGTCCTCTGCAAATAGGTGAGAGGAGAGAGGATGGCAGACTAGACGGTCGGGAGGAGGACCGAGTGTGACGAGGGCGGTGGAGGAGGCGTGTTTCTGTGGGTATCTGAGCGATGGTTTCCTTTCAGCACGCCCCGGCTCCTCTAGGGGTTGGTGGAGGCACGGTGGACTTTCCCAGGCCTCGTGGAATCTCCGCGGCGCGGAGTGAGTGTTGGGCGTCCAGCTCATTTCCCAGCAGCCAAAAAACCCACAGAGGTGCGAGTAGCCGCCGAGTGGATGGTGACAGCAAAGAGCCAGCCCCTAGCAGGGACCTGCAGAGGGCACGGTGAGTTTGTTGTTTGCTCCAGGCTACGCCTGGCTGGGGTCTTAGGTGAGTTGTCCAGCCATGTACTCAAGAATACCGAACTGCAGCCTAGTCTTTAAGAAGAGTGCTTTCTTGCTCCTGGCTGTCCCTGCATCTCCTGGCCCAAGAAATTATCTGGTCTTTATACTTCTTCGGCCTCTACAATGTTAGTCACTTCACCCAAAGACATGTTAATTTCATAGGCACAGAGCCGTGGGCTGGTAAATATTTAACAACTGGATGTCTGGGGGAAAAGGTTCGCAAGACACACTTTTAAGTTTAACACGTATTATTAACATTTCCATCTCTTTCTTAAATCTAGCGTTTGCTGATTTCTGAGGTGTAAACGCTCACAATGAAAATTTAACAATTGACTCTTGTAGTCTCCACGGCACCCCTGCTTGAGATATCTTTAAAGTATCTTTCAGCTCTATCTCTAGGATCCTTTGATCTAGTCCAACATCCTTTATTTTACAGATGAAAAAAAAAAAGTGGGATCTAGAGATTTTGAACTCTGTTACTGTTATTGGGGAAGGGAGAGGAGAAAAGAGGAAGACAGGGAGGAGAAGAACAGAAGGGAGGTGAGGAGAGGAGAGATGCTTAGACCTCTACTCTCTAGCAAAATATGGCCTTTTCATATGCACCATTTTTGCTCTTTAGAACTTTTAATTTCTGTATTAACATTCAATTAAATCAACACATGTCCCTCATTTTGTCCCAGTGTGTGCTGTATCCAAGGTGGTTTGCCCTCCTCCATCCCTAGACAGAGTCTGACTAAAAGGTTAACCATCCTTAAGTCTTCCTCTACCTCTGAGCTTGATTATTAAGTTCCTCTTTGGATATGAAACCTGCTATATGCTTAGTATATAGACCAACAGAGCAGACATTCTCTTGTCCTGGTATATCCAGGTAAAATAAAGACAAAAGAGAAAATGACTCAAGAAGAGTCTAAAATCCATTCCAGAAGCAATGGGCAATTTTTAATAGCTAAAAATGGTAATAGATAATATTTACATTGCCTTTTAAGAAATGCAAAGTGACTTACATATGATTTCATTTGCACCTTAGAACAACACTGTGAGGTAAATTCTATCATTATCTCCACTTTACAGATGAGGGAACTGAAACTGAGAACAAGTTAAGTGACTTGCTCTAGGTCACACAGCTAATAAGTGTCTTAAGAGGGATACAAACTCAGGTTCCCCAAACTCAAAGTACAATGCTCTGTCTATTACACACCCAACTGTCTAAATGATTTGTGTTGTTGTATAATAGCAAAAGAAAGGTGAAATCACTTTATTTCTCCACTAAATGCAATGCATTTTATTTTGGTATAAAATTGCTTGTTTAAGCCCTTCTTTTCCATCTACACTAAAATATATTTGGCCCACACCATTTATTGAGAACAACAACTCTCTCACTGGGCTACTGACAATCAGCAAAGTAAAACAAGATCGATATACTTCTCTGGAGCCCAATTTCCTCATCTACAAAATGGGGACTTTATACACTATATATCCAAGGTCCCTTTTCAGCTCTTAATATTGTATGACTCAATCAATTTTAACACAAAAAAAGATGCTTTTTAACTTTTAAAAATTAAAAAAGTTAATTTAAAAATATTCCCCTTCTCAGTATTTCACATTGGTTTCGTTTGACCCTCTGGACACAAAATTCCGGGCTAACTTCATGGGACTTTATCCTACCTAACTGCTTATTTGCAGATATACATCTTCCTACATCCTCAGCTCTAATCAAGCAAATCTAATTAGATTGTAAACTCCTTCAGGGCAGGGACTGTTTATTTATTTATTTATTTATTTATGTATTTATTATATTCCCAGCAAACTGAGCACAATGCCTGACACATAGTAGGTGCTTAATAAATGTTTGTTGGATTGGATTGGAAATATTCCATTTATCATTCACTTAAAATCTGCCACCCTTAAATCTTTTTATAGGATATCCTTTTTGTATAAAGCTTTCCTTCTCTCGTCCTTGGAGATATTAATCAATTAGTCAATCAACAAGCATTTAATTAAAGAAGGAAACAAACATTTATCAAGTGCTTAATATGTACCGGGCACTGTACTAAAAAAGCTTTTCAAATATAATCCTATTTGAACCTCACAACAACTCTGAGAATGTAGGTGCTATTATTATACCCTTTTTATAGCTGAGGAAACTGAAGCAGAGAAAGGTTAAGTAGCTTTCCTATGGTCACAGAGTTAGTATGTGTCTGAGGCCTGATTTGAACTCATGTAGTGCTCCATGCACTGTGCCTCCTCCCTGCCTTAAGCACTTACTACAATATATGCCAGCCACTGTACTAGGCTCTGAGGATTAAAAAGGCAAAAATGAAACTATTTTAGCCCTTAGGAAACTGAAATTTTATCAGGGGAAATAACAGTTACACATGTAAAAATATAGACAATACCCTATACAAGGTAATTTCAGGGGAGGAGACATGAAGTCTTTGTCAACAAAGTCTTCATGTAAAAGGTGGCCCTTGAAGAAGCTTTTAACGAAAATTCCAAAAAGCAGAGGTAAAACGGGAGCCCATTCTAGGCACAGGGACAGCTCGTGCAAAGGCAGAGAAATGAGAGGTGGAATGTCTTGTGTAAGGCACAGCAAGGCCAATTTGGCTGGACCAAGAAGTGTGTGAAGGGGAGCAATTTATAATAAGCCTGGAAATGTAGGTTGGAAGCAGGCTGAAGGATTTTAATTTGATTCTAGATAGAATAGGGAGCTACGGTAGTTTAATGAGCAAGGCTTTACATGGTCATTCAGACCTGTGCTTAGGAACATCATTTTGGCAGCTGTGTGGAGCTGGATGGATTAGAGAGGGGAGAGTCTTGAGGCAGAAAGACCAATTAGGAGGCTGTTATAAAAATAACCCAGGCAGATGATGACTAGGGGGTAGTCATGCAAGAGGAGAGAAGGGGATAAATGCAAGAGATGTGGAGGTATGAGCCATAAGACTTGGCAATTGATTGGAAAAGTGGGATATGGGCAAGTAAGGAGTCTGCTGGCTTTTTCAGAGCTAGATGCAAGTTTGTAAGTTTTGCTTATGACTAACTTATCTCATAATATTCATGTAGGTCTTAAAAACACTTACTGATCATTGGGCATACAACTAAAAAAAACTAGGAAAAGAACAAATTAAAAATCCTTAATTAAACACCAAATTATAAATATTGAAAACCAAAGGAAAAATTAAGAAAATTGAAATTAAGAAAACTATTGAACTAATAAATAAAACTAAGAGCTGGTTTTATGAAAAAAAAAAACCCAACGAAATGGATAAACCTTTGGCTAATTTAATTTAAAAAAAAGAAAGAAGAAAACCAAATTACTAGTATCAAGAATGAAAAGGGTGAAGCTACCACCAAGGAAGAGGAAATTAAAACAATAATTAGGAACTACTTTGTCCAACTGTATGCCAACAAATCTGACAATCTTAGTGAAATGCATACATATTTACAAAAATATAAATTGCCCAGATTAACAGAAGAGGAAGTAAAATACTTAAATAACCCCATCTCAGAAAAAGAAATTGAACAAGCCATTGATGAACTCCCTAGGAAAAAATCTCCAGGGCCAGATGGATTTACATTCGAATTCTATCAAACATTTAAAGAACAATTAATTCCAATACCATATACACTATTTGGGAAAACAGGTGAAGAAGGAGTCTTACCAAATTCTTTTTATGATACAAATATGGTGATGCTACCCAAACTAGGAAGAGTCAAAACAGAGAAAGAAAATTATATACCAATTTCTCTAATGAATATAGATGCAAAATTTTAAACAAAATATTAGCAAAAACACTTACTGATCAAGAAACATACTCAGTCAACTCTAGGGCCTTTCACTTCCAGGATCAAAGATAAAATCTTCTGTTTGGCTTTCAAAGGCCTTTATAACCTGTCCCCCACCCCCATCCTTTCTAGTCTTCTTACATCTTACATCACACCATATACTTTGCCATCCAGTGACACTGGTATTCTTGGTGTTGCTAGCATAAGACATTTCACCACCCAACTCTGGGCATTTTTGTTGGCTATCTCCCAATGGCTAAAATGACCTCCTTTTTCATGTCTGCTTCCTGACTTCCCTAGTTTCCTTCAAGTCCCAGTTAAATTCCACCTTCTGCAAGAAGTCTTTCCCCCTTAATTTCAGTGCCTGTCCTCTGTTGATTAGTTTCTATTTATCTTGTATGTAACTTGTCTGTACATAATTTGCTTGTTGTCCCCTGCATTAGACTGTGAGCTCCTGGAGAGCAGGTACTGTCTTTTGCCCTTTCTTTGTATTTCTTGCACTTAGCACCGAGCCTGGCAAATAGTAGGTGCTTAATAAATGTATTCACTGATTCATAATGAGAAAAATACATCAATTCCATTGATTTTTAGTGATAGCATTCATTTGCTTGTTCATGGAATAAACTTTTATTAAGTGCCTACTGTGTACAGAGTAGTGTGTTTGGTGCTGAAGGCTAACAAAGTACCACCTGGACCTGAAGTAAGGAAGACTTACTGGCTATGTGTACCTGGCTAAGTGACTCAGCCTCTCTAATCTGCATTTTCCAAATCTTAAAATGGGAATGATAATCATATCTAATTTACAGGGCTATTAGGAAGAGCAAATGAAATCAACGGAAAGTGCTTTGTAAACATTAAAGCACCAAATAAATGTAAACTATTGTTATTACATGTGACTAATTCCTACTCTTTACTCTCCCATCAGAGCTATTACGAGGAATTCTGCCATCTAGAGCAGATTCAGTTGAATCAGGGTGTGGAAGAGGGAAGGAGGTATTTGGTATGACCACACCCATTCCTGTGTATGGTTTAAAGTGTCCTAAAGAACGCAGCCTTGAGAGTTTGGGATGTTGTGGAACTAGGAGGTCAAGGTGTTTGAAAGGGGTGTGGACTGAGGTGGAGAAAACAAGTACTAACTATATTGAGGAAGAAGAATGA